AACCACCCCCCCCCCCCCCCCCCTAACTCAAAACTCATCAATATTTCATGTCCATGTATTTATTTATTTGCTAAGTAGCCATATATTAAGCCGAGAATGTTCAGTCAGACATTATCGCAAAATAAACTCCATCAGGGTGTTGATCACCCTGTCAAGGTTTAAATTAGTCCTTACTTATGTATTAATAATAACTGCATTGGAAAAGAGACTTCACAGTCCTGTGTATTCAAGGGAACCCTGATTTATCTTGAAGGTTTAATTTTTTTGTTGCTTTAGTGAGTGAGAGCTCAATGCCAGTTATTACAGGGTTGCTGGTATGAGTCCCAGTTGGGACACCCATGGGAAGTTGAGTCAGTACCAGAGGGCTGCTGATATCATGCCTTGAGCTGTACACTTAACCCTGATTACCTCTGGGGTCTTGAACATGACAGTGCTGTCATCACACTTTGTGGATGTGCTAATAAAAGCAAATTTATCAGTGCCATTCACTGAATAAGAAGCATTATATTCAGATTATAAATCCTAAACTACACTTTACTTTAAAAAAGAAAATGCATGAGGTCACTTAATATAATCAAGATATCAATATAAAATACAATAATCAATCAATCAATCAATCAAATAGATTTGGTGCGCTATATGGTTTTCATTCATTAAAACAACTTTTTTATAATGTAAGTTGGCAAATTTACCATTTTTTGATTCACTAAAATGAACTAGCTCATAAGAGTCATTAGTTTGATCATTTGACCGAACTGGTAGTGCTTTATGGTTTTGATTTACTAAAATAACCCGGCTCATAAGATTTATTAGTTTGGGAATAGGTCTGGACTGGTTGCACTCTGTTTTGGATTCACTACAATAAACTGGCTCTTAAGAGTCAACACTGGTCGCTGTATGTTTTACTGTTAATATTCAATAGCAGTGATGCAGTTCAGCTGAATAATAGCGCAGGAAAGCTTTTCACACTGTGCTTAACTCCGGGTTATTGTCATACTTAACCCTGCTTTTATTCCCGGGTAGAGAAACGGGTTTAGAAGCTGCATTAGCACTACTTTTTAACTGGGGTTCTGAAACGCTGCGGTGTTAAGCTTGCATTGTGGTGCCAAACTTGTGCGGTGTGAAATGATGCAGTGTTAGAATGTTACGGCTAGATGCCTATTGCCTAGCAACAAACTCTCAAGTCGTGTGCCTCATATTCACATGCTTTGAACAGTAACGGAAACACTGTGTGTCAACAGTTCCAGCGTTTGAGGGGAAAAATGGAACATGGTACCCAGGATTCTGTTTACCCTGGGTTTCAAGTGTAAAAAGCCATTCAGAGTATTATATTTAAAAAGTATATATAAAAGTACATGCAGATGTACTTTTTTAGAACTTTAAATGGATGGGTTGATTATGGTATTATTATTATTATTATTATTGTTGGTCCCCAACCAAGTGTTTTTGTCTATGGAAAAGGTTAATTCTTTCCCAAGAGTTGTGTCTTTAGAGAGCCCTTTATTTAACCACTGCCCAAAATGATTTCCATTCACCACCTGACCTGTTCTATTGCCCTGGAGCTCTGCAGTGTCATGCATCTGCTCCTGTCAAGTCAGTATGAACAGAGAGAACACAAGTCATTAAGATTACAGATTGATCTGCCTTTTCCCAGATTGGATTTGATCCAAAGCCTTGGAATGACTTTTGAGCGTTTGTTAATCTAGCTCTGAAATTGAAGTGGTCTGGGCAGCACATGCAGTATGATGGATTATATATCAGAGTGGGTCTGCTAACTGTCTTAGAAGAAAATCTGTAGACTTTATGGAAGCGTGACGTACAACCGTCTGTAGGGCTTTGAGTGGTTCAGTTTTACAAATACATAGGATCTGCAAAGTTGAGTCCAAGTCGAGATGTTGTCAATGTGCCAGTCTTGTCAACAAAATTTGAAAAAAACTTTTTTTTTTTAAATTTATTTTGTTTATGATCATTAAGATGAGACAAAAGAGCATGTTGAGATGTTCTCAGAGAAGGAACAGAGCGGTGTGGAAAGGTAAATTATGTGAAAAATAATGCGTTTTTAAAAAAACTAAGCATTAACACATGTTAGACTGCACCCCATAAACACAATCAAGCCTAGAAAAACACCATTGAACCACCCCTTTAAATTAAATGTTCCCTCCTGGTGGAATGACCTGCCCAACTCAATCAGAGCAAGATGGCGAGAGTCCTTAGCCATCTTCAAGAATCTGCTAAAAACACATCTCTTCCATCTTTTTTTGACCCTCTAACTCTAGTTCTATTCTGTCACCCGTCCCCTCTGTGGGACGCCTAAGTTTACTTTCACTATATTACAATTAAATCCTAATCTAATCATGACAAACTATATCGTTGGAAAGGACTAAGACTCCTAAATAGATATTTTACCAATGTTTTTGTTAAAAATTATGTAGGAAAAAGTAATAGATAAATTTTTGACAAGAGTGCACCTCAAAAATCTACATCGTAACAGGAGTTCTGACCTTTGTCAAAAAAAGTCTTCTTTGTTGCCTTTTTCTCTATCACACTTTAGAAATCATCAGAAATTATATATCAATTGAAAACTTTAAATCTCAAAATTCATCCTTTGAACCCATTTTAAAATCAAACATTGCATTACCATGAAAATGGTACATCAATATCATGTTACAAAATGTTTTCATTCATGAATTATAAACATTTAAGTTTGGATCGTGCACTTTCTCGTCTATGTTCAAAAATGTGAGTGACAGTTAAGGGGTTAAAAAAACAAAAAAACTTGTCCCTTTTAGACTTGCACTCTATTCATTTACTGCTTGTTTTCTTTAAAAACAAAAAACTAAACTAGCTTTTCTAATTTTTTGTATTCTATCTATTTGTTTTCTTTTTATTTATTATACAATTATCAAGCAAAAAAAGCTTTAACACTCGCTTGCTCTATTCTTTTTCTATTCTATCTGTTTTCTTTTTCTTTATTATATAATAAAAAAAAAACTTGCTACGTGTACTGCGTTAAGCTAACTGAGACTTGTTATAGCACTTGCATATCATTGCTCTTTTGTTGATTTTGATTGCTTCCATTGTCCTCATTTGTAAGTCGTTTTGGATAAAAGCATCTGCTAAATTACTAAATGTAAATGTAATATGATTATTTCATATAAACTGATCTTAGTCATTATATACAAGCTGAAGCTAAAGAGCAAATGAACACCTGTTGAGCGGAGCATTTAACTTAAAACAAATTATTTATTCAGGCATATACAAAAGGTAAGCATAATATCACAACTTCTGCACAAAATGATGCAAATGCACAGGTGAACTTGAACTTACACGCTTGTCATAATGTTCAAGTCATATTGTGAATGAACAGAACAACACATTTCCAGAACAACACACTACAAAACAGACAACAGACCATTTTCACAGACTGTGATTCCCACGTTTCCATGGTTATTAACATGGTTAACCAAATTTTTTTGTTGTTTATTTTTTGCGGTTAAAAGTTTGAAATCAGTAACATGCTTAATGTTTTTTAAAGATGTTTCTTATGCTCATCAAGGCTGCATTTATTTGATCAAAAATACAGAAAAAAACTGTAATTTTGTGAAATATTATTTAATAATAATTTAAAATAAAAGATTACTATTTGAATATACAGTATTTTCAAATGTAATTTATTCCTGTGATGTAAAGCTGAATTTCCAGCATCATTACTCCAGTATAGTGTCACATAATCCTACAAAAATCATTCTAATATGCTGATTTATAATCAGTGTTGGAAACAGTGTGCTGCTTAATATTTTTTTGGGACCTGTGTTACTTTTTTCAGGATTCTTTGATAAGAAAAAAAGTAAAAAAGTACAGTGTTCATTCAAAATAGAAATGATGTGTTACATTATACACTACTATATATATATACATATATATATATATATATATATATATATATATATTTTTTTTTTTTATAAAGAAATTAATACTTTTATACAGCAAGGAGGTGTTAAATAGATAAAAAAGTGTGACAGGTTCCAAAAAAATATTAAACAGCACAGCAGTTTCAACACTGATAATAAATCAGCAAATTAGAATGATTTCTGAAGGATCGTATGACACTGAAGAATGGAGTAATAACTGATGAAAATTCAGCGCTGTCACCGAAATAAATTATATATTAAAGTATATTAAAATAAGAAACCAGGGCTTGAAAACGAAAAAGAAATTCAATCGGTTCACTCCGAGCAGAATCGATATTTTAACGTTTCTGTTCCTGCGTTCCTCTGATATTATTACCGCTCCGAAACCAGTTCGAGAAGAAGAAATACTGGTTAATAACGTTATTTTTTTTTAAACAATTTTCTTTGCCTATAATATGTCTAATAATAATAATAAAGTACAGCGGAAAAAAGAGAGATCTGGTAACGTTAGCCAGCCTATAACCCACTGTGCTAAGTCACAGCCAATACAACATCATCTTTTCTAGATTTTGGCCAAATGTAGGCTACTAAACAAAAGAAAAAATCTATCAACACTTTAAAGCAATTAAAGTGTTTTTAAGATATTTAAAAATGTTTGCTGCATTGTAAAAAAAACAATTTTGGTTTTGAGAGTGAAAAAAACATAAGTCACGGCTCACGCCGCATTTTATTAGCTCTCTTAGCCTACATTCCGAAATAATGAAGGCTAAAATGCCTGTAGGCTAAAGCAAAATGTTTACAAACATTATAAACACAGTTATTAGTTTCTCTCCAAAACAAATCCTTTGGTTATAAAAACGTCAATCCAAAAACACATTTATTTAAGGTGAAACTGATGCCTACCTCTTTAATTCGGCACGAATCCAAATGTTTCCATATTCGCGAAAATATTATTTATTAGGCTTTGTAGCCTACTTTCATCGACGTAAAACATCATCCTTCACATCGGCTATATCAGCGGTCACGCTGAACGCAACACATTTTGTACAACGGAGCAGTGTACCTTTTTATTTGTTTCTTTAACTGTATTTTATTTTGATATTGAACAGGCTGCAATGTAGCAAAAATATGTTGTGTGTGCGTGTAAGGCGCCGGCGCGTTGGTCATACCAACGCTGGTCTGTTATATACAAGCAAGACATTATTCAAAGCTGTCAAGCTTTTGCAAAATAAAGAAAACTACTTTCTGCTGTCTCGGTTTCCTTTCCGAGAACTTTGGAACACGTCACAATGAACCGTAACTCAGCAAATTTTTTTTCTTTCGTTTCCTTAAACTGTCAATGATTTAAGTTAAATATATTTTGTGTATATGCCTATATTCCTTTTTATGTAAGCCTATAGTGATCCTCAGATAAACTCTAACGCTGGTGCACTGCCATTGCGTCTTACCTATGATGAGTTCACTGAGCGGGCATTTCACTCGTTGGCTTCAGCGTTACATTTGCATAGGCCGTACTGCTGGAATTCGTGATTGGTTGACAGCAAATTTCAAATATTAAATGGAACGATAAAATAACGCTATTAACCGGTTAATGGCCATTTCAAATTTTCGATTCTGTTCAAAACTATAAAATTTGATTTGATTTCTGGTTCTGTTCCTGTCAAAATTTTGTTCGTTTCCGGTTTTCGTTTTCATTCCTTGAAACGGTTCAGAGCCCTGTAGGAAACCAATATTAGAAATTGTGATAATATTTCACAATATTACAGTTTTTTTTCTGTTTTTTTTTGGGATAAAAAAATACAGCCTTGTTGAGCATAAGAGACTCAATTAAAAAACATAAAAAATATCAATGATCCCAAACTTTTGAACAGCAGTTTAAACCAAACCTAACACCAAACACAAACCTGATAATATCAGTAGATTTAATGCAATATGTGATTTAGCAGATTTATAAGCCTTTTGAATAGTGAGAGCAATTCCAAATGCCTTCAAGCCAATTTTCAACAAGTTAACCTATAGACATTTTCAACATTTTGAGCCAAACCTGTGCACATACTATGCTGTCATGCCATTCCATAGTACGCTGTCAGCTGTGACCCATAGAAATAAAGAAAAAAAACATATATGAATCTTTAAATTCAACACATTAATATAGTATCTTTTTGAAAGAGATGCAAAATCTGTGTAGTGAAAGCAAAAGCAATGCCTCTTCTATTTATTATTATAGTTAACTATGTTTCTGTCTGCACAATTACAAATGGCATTTCTGAGTTGAATAGTTTTCATAATTCATCTGAATTGATTTTTGCATCATATACTGTATGTGTCAAGTTTCACATTTATTCTTTTCCAGATAATGTTTTTGCAATCAAATCCTGGGCAAAGAAGAAGTTCGGCTTAGAGAATAGCAGCTTGGACAAAGCTTTCGCGATACCTGAGGACTTTGACTAAATTAACTGACCAAAAATTCACAGCCTCTTGGATCTTATGATTGTTTGGTCTGTTCAACTCTGCACAATCAATAAGCTTTATTGTCTTACATCAGTTGGTTTTACGTTTTGTTATCACAACCCTCAACGGACACCTTGGCAATTGAATTGCCATTGGCTAGTATATTTTTCGTTTACTCGCCAGACTGAAATACTATACTATACTATACTATACTATATATATATATATATATGTGATTCATAGACTAAAGGTGGGAAAAACTCTGTAAGAGGCCTATTAGCCCTCTGTAGCACACTAGACTTTACAACAGAGGAGAAGGAAATCAGGATAGTGCTTGAGAGCCATCAGCCAGATCCCAGATGGAATTCCTCGTCTCCACCCAACACAAACACGCACAGAAGCTAATGAACTTAGATATAACCATTTGATTCTGCAGCAGCAGAGTGCTACAGCTGTGTCTGGCATGCCGTTCCCAGATACAGAGAGAACATTACACCATCACAGAGCATGTGGGTTGCTCTGTGTGCATCACTCCGGTTCCACTGAACTATTTCAGGAGACCTTAGAGATATTTCAAACACACTCCCACTCTCACACCCACACTCCTCAACAGCAGCATGGACACTGTCACACATGAGGGGGAGAAAAAAAACAGGGTCAAAGATCAATGAGTAATGATTTGCTCAGACTGACAAGCATTTGAGATGCACGTTAAAAGCAGGTGTGAACAGTGATCGGTCTCGGCTGACCACCTGACCAGGTATAAAAATACCATATAAATACACACCTGCTCTTTAACGCACACTAAATCTTCTGTATTCTGTACCCATGCTCAAATGTAAACACAGGTGTGTTTGTTCACAGGTGAGAGAGCGAAAGGGTGGGGCGTTTTATAGATGACTTTGAGTGCTTAGAACTGGAGAATCTGATGAGTTCTGCTCACAAGTATTTTTAATGATGTAAAACATCACAGAAGAAGCAGGTCTGAGCAGATCCAAGCACATCAGCAATCCCAGATGCAGTGCAGTACTTGGGATATTAGTTCTGGCTGAGTGCCTCTTTATTACTTAACTGCATTGAGGTATTGCGTCCTAACAGTGGTCAACTAACGTGGGTTTTTTTTAATAGCCAATGCCTATATAACCAGGGTAACCAATGGCCAATACAAGTAAAAAAAATAACCGTAAATAAAATATACACAAAACTGCATCTTGTCAATGAACACCCATTTAAAACAAAATATATAAAATAAAAAAAAACTTTTATTTAAAAAAATGTTGTCTGTGTCACACCTGTGTTTGTCTGGATCACAATACGCCACACAAATAACAACTCCATCTAGACATCAACTAGACATGTAGGAACCTGGATTAGAGACCAAAAAGACACACTTTCTCTTTCCACGAAAAGTAATTCTTTCTACCTTAAGCCCAAAGTATACTTCGTTTTCATACGTATGTGTCCAGTCGAATACGTAGCTTTTCTATACTCAATTTGATAACATGCATTACATGTAGGCGGTCGATACATGCGCTCTATGAAGCAACCCTCAACGGACACCTTGGCAATTGAATTGCCATTGGCTAGTATATTTTTAGTTTACTCGCCAGACTGAAATACTATACTATACTATACTATACTATATATATATATATATATGTTATGCCATTTTACAAACATATATAATTGGTCATCAATCTATATTAGAATATATATTAGAATTCTACTAATAAGAACAATATAAAAACGCTCTAAGGATTAATGAGCTACTGGCTTCATGAATATTAATCAGGTTGTGTGCGTTTGCTCGAACTGATTCGCTGAAATCAAAACAGGGACGATAATAGGTGAGCACCAGCCAATGAGATTGTCGTTTGCGCATTAGTTCCGCCTACTACAGAAAAACGGGGCAGTTCTTAAAAGCTGAAGAATTCCAAAGGAACTCAGATGTTTTTACAGGAAAATACAACAAAGTATATCGTTTACATGTAGTGCATCAATTCTGCATGTTATGTAAGACTCTCGCTCTTTGCGCGTGTGAGAGAAAGCGACGTCGAGTCGTGCACCTTCACACTAGAGATTACGTTACGCCAAATACACAAACACAGGTGCGCTGCGCATCCATTCAAATGAACTGAAAAATATCACAGATCGCTTGACGAAGAGTAAAACTCTGAAGCACTCAGTCAGCGTGTTCTGTGAGTGAAAATATATCTGTGCTAATCATATACTCAGCCTCCACACACTGGCGAGTAAAATCTGAGAATTTATTAGACATTGGCTAATATTATACATCATTTAGTCGCCCAGATGAAGATTTAGTCGCATATGCGAGTGATTTACTTGCAATGTAGAGGGTTGTATCAGTTCTGCATGTTCGATACACAGCTGTGACTGACTTACATTGTGAAGAGTGTGGTGTACATTGTCAGCAGTGCCCCACCCTTGAAATTTTAACCTTGTCTAGTCCAAGGAAAACTTTAAGATTGATTTGTCAGGGTAAAAACGCTCCTGGTGTGTAAGCGGAGAAGGTGTTGTGTTAACCCTTGGCTGCTCAGAGATGCACCCTATAACCAAACTGACTGTTTGGACACCTGTTGATAGAGAAACTAAGCCTTGCAGATACTGCTGGGATGATAAATTGAGCTGCACATCAAAGGTCAATTCAAGGAAATTAATCACAGGTTAGTTTGTTTTAAAGAAGGTAAAATTGTTTATAGAAAAAAATTCTGTGACAAGGACACATTTGGTTCTGTGTGAAGTAGGAATGTGTTATGAAGTCATTTCAGATGTTCAGGTCACTTCAGATGCTTTCATTTTTTTAGCTTGCTTTTTTTCATTACTGGGCATTTTTCACTACTGGGCATTTTTCACAGTGCACATTGTGTATCTTGTAAATATGAAAAAATGGTCAATTGCTTTATGTAATATGATTTAATAAATGTACAGTTATCAAGCACATTGTTTGTAATTAAGCATTTTGTCCTGCAAAATAATACTACCGATTTAAGTGTAATGTCCTATCGATTTGCAGCATCATTAACGCCGCTTAAACACATGAAAATGTCCCTTTAATTACATTTTTTGATAGCGTTAGTTTGTTGAAAAGAATGCTTTTGTCTGTTGCAACACAGTAATGATGTACAGTATTAAAATATGAGTAGTTCCTGAATAAGTTGAAGTATTTAAAACAGGTTTTATTAATAAGTACGTTTAAAGTGAACAATTTTGCAAGGTGCATAAAAAGCCTTGATTGTTTAGTGTTCAGGTGTTCGTGAAATGGGTGTTTAAAAAAAGAAAAGAAGCAAACGACCTGTTTGACTGTTTCTCTGCATTTCACGAGGAATGTACATGTGTACATTTGTAATATATTTCTGCTTGTTGATTCTGTCCCCAAGTATAATTAGATATTTTGAAGGTTCATTTAAAACAAGTTATATTAATCAATAATAGAGCACATTTAAAATATAGCACAAAATCAAGGCCCTTAAAGATAGCCTTGAGTATTTTAATACAATATTTTGTTCATAGACTTTTCCATTGAGAAAAAATATAGGATATTTTAGAGGTCCATCTCCTTCCATTTATTTGTGTATAGCCTATAATAGAAATATGCCAGTGTTGTGAGTGTGACCTTCAAAGTACGAGTGGATTATCTCTCCCCATCTACACCACTACCGACGCGACAAAACACAACGCTTGCAATACAGTTAGTAGATTGTTGCGTCGCTTGCGTCTAGCTCTAGTGGGCGCACATAGGTACTGCTGAGAGAGAGGAGGGAGGGTGTGAGAGAGAAAGAGAAAGAAGTGAAGGCAGCCGGGGAGCTCAGCACAGCCAGCATGGCGAGCCAAAGGGACTTCACATACAGAAAACCTTGGATTAATGTCCTTCTGCGACTCCTACAGCTGTTATTGCCGTACATTCAACACGGAGGAGCTCAGTTTCAAGGTGCGGTGGACAGATTGATCTTATTTATTTAGTCCACGAATGCAACGCGAGTGCGAAAATGTCGGAGGAACTGCCGAGGGCTGATTTAACAAGTATTCAAGTGCACTCGTTGTGCTAAACTGGCACAATACTCATTGAATTTACCCCAAATCTGACCTGTTTCACCCGACTGTCTATCTGCATTAGGATTTACGTTTAGATTCAAATCTGAAGAAAGACGGCTTACGCGTTTTTGGCCAAGTTACTGGTTTTGTTCGGTTTCCTGTGTCAATGCAATATGCTACAAAGCTCATATAGCTTCTTACAGCTGTTATTCAGTGCAGTCTTTGGGAACTAAGCGTCTAGCCGATGGTCGCAGCGGAAAACACGAGTTTAGAACAGCATTAATGCACATTTAATTGCGTTTCCAGCTTGCTTGTATTTGGATTGTTGACATGGTGTGAGCTGTGGACTAAAATAGCTTGTCCGTTCAATTTCACGCCTTTGTCATCCACTCCAACTCATCTGCTGTTCAACAACTGCAAATATATGAACGTTAGTGAACGCATGCGAGATTAGCCGAGCACTATAGGGTCATTTTCGGATCTCCTGTATTGTTGTTTAGAGACGGGGATTGGTCTGCTGTTTGCTCGCATGATTTTCTATATGTTTTTGTCATTCTCTCCTCTTGAAGCCCTGACTCGGATGTCCAGTGTGGTTGAAGTTTGGCAGGCTGAGGACGCAGACTTCTTCATTTCATCGCAGGTATGTGAGCTAGCAAAAACATGACGTCATGAGCGGGACGTTTTTATTACGGTTCAGCTTCACTTCATTGTGAGCCGAGAGCACGTGCGAGACGTGGTGCAGTGTGCTGTTGTTCCGTCTGCAAAGGTGGCAGAAATCAAAATAAGGTCTTTCTTTCATTTGGATATTTAGGTATCATTTAGTATGTGTTGGTTTATGCAGTTCTTATATGGCCAGTGCGATTGTTTATGTAGTTTGGTGAAATGTGTTTCCGTGTGGAGGCGGGAACAGGGCGCATCTTTCTGTAGGACTCTGGGATCCTGAATGGACCTATAGAATAATTTCAGTTTTATATGGTCTCATCTCACATCTTTTAGCCGATTACCTAATTGCATGTTTTGAAGTTTGTATAATTGCGTACAACTAAGTAAGTAACCAAAAAGTGGGTTAATCAATATATGTCCCAAGACATTCTTTTTTTTATCATTTGTTTTTTAAGGATTTTCAAAATCCTCCAAAATTTTCAAATCGCTCAAAGTGTTTTGAAGAAATCTGTTATGTGATTGTTAGGTATTCTCGTTTTGGTAATGGTTAAATAGGAATTATTATTAGTACAGTTCACTCAATAATGAAAATGGTCATATTTGACTTACTTTCTGCTGCAACACAAAATATATTTTGAAGATTGTTTGTAACCAGAGAGGTTTGGTGACCATTGACTTCCATTGTAATTACAACCAACAATGAAAATCTTTGTTCCAAACGAGTCATCTTTTTTAATATATATATATACATACACATACATACACGCACACACACACATATATATATATACACAATATATAAGTTAACTGAGAAAAAAAAAAATAAAATATATAAATAAATATTGCTCACACATTTAATCCTTTTTTTTCAACTTACAAACCTCCAAACTAACTAACTTATTTTATTTTGCATTTCTCATTTTTATTTAGAACTTGATGTACTAAAATACCTCAAACTAAAACCGAAATATCTATATAGACATAAAATAACTAAAAAAAATATAAAAATAAAAACTATTTCAGATATTAGTAAAAGGTTGTTGTAGTATAAATGGCCTTAAAATATCACAAGTTTGTGGTCCACTCTTCAAATTGTGGTTATTTTTGCTGTGGTGATGCTAGAATAGTCAAGCCAGTTGTACATGAGATGCATTAAAGCACCACACTTTCCTGGCCTGGGACTTGGGCATCGCTACAGAAAGTTATTAGAAAGTAAAAGCTTTATTGCCAAGTATGATCTCACACACAAGAAATGTATGCTTCCAGTTCTCAAGAGATATAGTAATATAATAGTGTGACACAGAATAATAAAATAAATGCATAATAACATTTACAGAAGGGTGGCTATGCAGAGAAGGTAGTGTGTATATTTATATGATTAAATATTAATTGAATGAACACATTGCAGGTCTATAGAAAACATGATGCCATTTAAAACCAACACCTGGGACAGTTACAAAGGAGTGCTTTTTTTTGTGGTAGTGGATGTTTTTGTTGATTATGATCAAGCTCACGAGACTGATTACAATGTGCTAAAGATTTTTTTTTCATGTTTCCTTTGGGGCAGGAAGCTAATGCCGCACAAACATGCACAGAAACTGTTGCTTCTTCAGAGGTTGACAGACAATTTGCCACTTTTGTGGTTAGCAGTTACGCAAGAGACCTGTCTTATGGCTTGAGAATGGCCACAATCAAAGGGATGGAAAATTCCATTTGTAGTTCTCCATTTGTTTAAAGGGGCTTCGTTTGTTTCATTGACAGTAATGGAGGTGGTAAAATCTTATTACATCAATCTGTACTTGTATTTATATGTAGTAAACATGTTTTATGCCAGATGGAAATGTCATACTGAAACTGAACCATTGTTTGACACATTTAAAGGGGTCATATGATGCTATTTTAAAGATCATTATTTTGTGAATTTGGTGTAACAGAATGTTGACATGCTTTAATCTTCAAAAAACACATTATTTTTTAAAATACTGTACATTATTGTAGGTCCTCTATGCCCCGCCTCTCTCAAACGCTTAGTTTTCTACATAGTCCCTCCTCCCGACAAGCGCAGTCTGCTCTGATTGGCCAGCTGACCCAGTACATTGTGATTGGCCGAACACCGCAAGCACTCTTGTCGGAAATGTAATGCCCCTTACCATAATCGCGAGCTTCATCTTTCAAAATAAATGTAAAGACAGAGCCCGAAAGGGGAACAGAGTCGCGTGACAGACACCGTGATGAAGCTGTATCCGTGTTATTAATAGCATATAAAATAATGTTATTTTTCAAAAATATTTTTGAGCTGATTATATGTGCTTTATTTTAGTTTTAAAATAAGTTGTATTTAGATTTAATAATGCCTTGGTGTCCTCCCTCCCCCCATCATGACCTTTTATTACTTATGTGTTAAATGAGATAGATATGGCTTGCTCATTCATGAATAATCTGGATTTATAAACTTTGAGGTCAAACGCACAAACCACTTTCAAGTAAAAAAACACACATCAGTTGGACAACCGACTAAAAGCAGACCCATAAATAGACTTTGATTCATTTGTAGTCAATATAGATGTCAGGGGTGATTGAGTAGACCTGCAGCATTCCAAAGAGAACCTCCCTCACCCGATGATGGATGGGTGCCACATTTACTCAATGAATTCTAATAGTGCTTGTAAGTACTACACTGAAAATCTGCAGATTCCCAGCATGTTTTCTAGTTTGAGGAAGACTAATTGAAACCCCTTGTCAATAGGTCTGCATATTCATCCAATCATTGTAAAATGTGTACTTAAGTCATCTGACACCAGGCAGCCAAGTGGCCTCCATATACATCCATTGTGTGCCTGGAGGGCTATAGTTCCTATGGAAACTCTGCTTTAAAAGAGCGCATAGACACTCATCAGGTAATCGTGGTTTTCAAGGCTCTCAGTAAGATGGCTATTTCAGTAAATTGCCTATAATGTGCTACAGGCAGTTTATGGAATAGCATGGTTATATGTGTCGAAACGGCACAGTGTTCCCTTTCACTACTATTGCATTAAAAACAAGGTCAGGTCAACTACTTGGACTCTGATTTTACAGGTTTATATATATATATATATATAATAATTCTAAACCTCCTAACTGTACCTATGTAATATGCTGTTACCAACTGAATCTTTTTTTTTTCTTCTCTCAGGCAGAGGAGCAGCACAGTGAGAATGTTCCTCGAGACGAGAGGTGAGAGTTTCTCTTAAAACCACAATCCCTTTGAGACTTTCCTGGAATATTTGCAGTTTTTATTTAGTAACATTTATTCAGGTGTGGTTAGTGAAAATATGTTTCTGTAAACCCACAATCTGTTGTATATATCACAGTTTACCAAATTATCAAACGTAAAAGTTTTACTTTTTTATTTTCTCATATAATTTTCAGTGGTCTATTGTGTACATCCTCTAAACATTTATCTGAAGGCAGGGCTGGTGTGTTTCAACAGTGCATGGAAAACTAAGCCTCCTGAGGACACCAGCTTTCTGTTTACTCTACATTTGCATTCATGTGACTGGCATGACCTAAGATCAACATGCATTGTTTTATTAACTACATTTCAATAGCAAGATACGAATAAGAGCGTAGCTTAGAACTCATTGGCATTTTGTTTATATGGAAAAATACCAATTTTAGCACAAGCCTGCAAGGCGGCACATGGTTTACAGGTGTGTTTCAGAAGAAAAAGAGCAGCATGCAACACAAGATATGAGATATGAGAGTAGGTACAGATGCAAAAAACTAATTGCCAAACATTGCCGAAGCTCAAGGGTTTTATAAGTGTGTTGTCTATTATTGCTGTGGTTTACCTTATACACAAAGGTAATGGTTTTTATGCAAGTTGACATTTTTTTTTCAACAATTTGCAAATGAAGTAGCATTTTATCCCATGTGTCTACCACATTGTCACTTTTACAGAAATTGACACAAAATAGAAAAGTTGTAGCAACTGGGGAAAGTTCAAAGATCAATCTGTGTTAGATATATTGTTTTGTCTCTAAAGACCTGAAGATATAATAGTGATTGACATAAAATATGGCAGCAATATAAAAGAGATTAGTCTGACTGCCACCACTGTGTAGGTGAGGAACTATCAGTTTATTTGCTTATACATGTATTTTTGCTTGTACTTCCTCTGGACACTCTACACACATCAGGAAATGTAGTTATCTTTAACTAATATGCACTAGACCAGATGAAACTACATTTTTTTAAAGTTAGAGTACTTTAAAGACTTATTCCTTATATCTGGGAGCAGTAGCATGTCATGAAGAGGGTTCCAGCAGTATTTGAGGTGAAGGGAACTTTTTTTAATGTTAAAATACCAACGTGTTTCCACTTAAAAGTCCTTGCATCAGAGTATACAAACTAATGTTATCCACCACTCTTAAAAATACTTCATATTAAATTCAATACTTCATACTAAGCAATAGCATATCAGATCATTCTGGGAGGTAATAGTTATTATTCAAGGTAATAATTATTCCGTCAGGTATTATTTGGTAAATGTTTGCATTGTAGTTCATGCAAATATCTTCTTACAGAATAAAACGAAAAGGTCCACCTCAAACGAGTGTATACATTTTGCCCATTATGCGTTTTAGAAATTGTATTTGCATCTTGATGTTTCTATTTAACATTGTTTAGTGCAATATTTCATTTACATAAAAAATAAAAATGGTGGGATATTTGGCTTTCATTCACTTACTTGGCAATTGACTGGATCACTAAAAGCAATTGGAGCAGATGAGTTATTTATATTTTGGTTGTTTGAATTCTGCAGGAGAAGAATGTGTTGACTTCATTAATTGGTAAATGCGTGAAAAAATTAATTGTGGACTCTTGAGCAAAGCCAGTTGAGAGAGTTATTGTCACCATAAACTGAAATATTTGTGTTTTATCATATAAAAAAAAGGCATTTGTGACTTCGTTCACACTCTCTTAGTAACTGGAACTTTCTTACTTTCTCTTCATTTTCCCCTCTTCACGGTCTCTCTGCCACATCCTCTCAGACGACCTGTCACTAACTCTCTAGACCTCATTCTGCTATCTGCCCATAGCAGATGTTTCATAGTTCACATTGTCTTTTCATTTTGACATGACTCAGGGTAGCAGCATGCTCTGTGGTTAAGTCTTAATCAGAGACTATCACCAAGCACAATGTCTGCTTTTAACGCAGCAGCATCAACAAGACCCACTTCCTGTATCAACAGCAAAGAGCAGTTACATGGATGTTGAGTTAATATAAAAACATTCAATGCAGAATATAACGTCATCTTAAAAAATAATGTTTTGTGTCAGACTCAATTATGCATTCTTTTAAAATAATTTTTTACTCCCATTTTATATGGAAATTTGCACTTTAAATGAACCTGAGGGTGACTGTGGGCTTTAAAACAAGGAAGCAGAGATGACACCTTTACTCTGATTGGTCCAAAGTGAGTTTTTGAATGAGCAGAAATGACCAAATTTGGTCATACAATAGACATAGTCATACTGCTCATGTAGTTATGTAATATCATTTTGTTACGGCTAAGAACTAATCTATAATAATACAATACAATTATATTTAGTATATATTTGTTTGTACAATATATTTAATATGTGTTATTTATGTTGGTTTGTATCACCTTTTCAACTGTCTTTGCAGGTATAGGGAAATTGTATGGGTGTTTAAACATAGTTTTTAATTTGTTCAACAGACTCACGCTTATTGGAAACTTTAGCAGCATTATCAGGTTAGCCAAAATATTTAACAACCACAGTGAATTGGTGAATTCATGGAAGCACTGTATAGCTGTCTTTTGCAGGAGAGCAGAACAGCACCAGTGTGGGTTGTCTTGGGCTCCCGAATAGAGAAATGAAAGCCAGAATCGTTTGACCACAAAGTGCTGTAGACTTAAACTCTGTTTCTAAATCTTTTACATTGATCTGTCCAAAACCCCCAAAAATGTACACCCTAAACACAGAGGTCATGTGGAGGCTATCTTGTAATGTATAAATCTCTGGAAATCGGCTCATGAGGTTTTAACGTCAGCAGTCTTTGAGCTTGTCAGGGCTTTGGACATATGATAGCAGTAATGCAGTGTTAAGCAACAGAATGTGCATAGATGGGACAGAGAACTAGGGTGCATCCAGGATACAAGGGCCTGAGAAATCATTACATTATTATTATTATTTTTTGCTTGCATCATAATGAACACCTGGAATGGACTATATTCATTATTTTTCTTAGTTATGTTTTTAAGTAAAAATTCTAAATAGTGGTCCATATTTGATATTTAAAATGTTTTAAATATCGGCATCGACCGATAAGTTTTTCTGTTTGGCAGATGCGTTTGAGACTTTTATTTTTACGGCAGTGAGAACGGCAGCGCCTGAGCACACAGTGCTCACATTCTCCCTCTTGTTCGCTGTCGTCGTTAACAGTTCTGTCTAATACGGATAGAAGTATGTCTAATAATCCGATAGAACTGTTAAACAAAGGAATTAAAATGTATACAAAAAGTATTATAACGATTGCTTTTATATTATTAGTAATAGAAAGGCAAACATTATAATACTTTCTCGTTTGCCGTCAGCATTCAGCAAATACACATTTATATCATTTAAACAAATCTTTGAATGTCTAATGAAAATTTTATTTCACAAACCTTGCAAACTTAGTCGAATCCAGTTGTGAGATCTTGTGAAGTGTGCATTTGTATCCTGCATGATCGCGTGTTCTCTTCATGACTTTCGGGCCGTGCAAATTGAATGCTTTAAACATTAAATACATGATTTCAAATTATGCTGCGCTTTATGCATTTGCCCAGTGTCATATTCATGTCATTTTCACAGTGTGCTGTATATAAAATGAGTGTTACCTTGGCTTTATTTGGAAAAATATATTATTCCCAATGCGCACAAACTTGCTTTGTTGGTTACAGTTTACTTCCTTTTTAATTATATTTTTTATTAAATATTTATTTATTTGTGAAAAATACTTTGTCATCTAAAGTATAAGTATGTTTATTCTACAAATGTATTTTTTAATCCATTTTCAAATGATTTCAAATTTCTTACATATTAATTAAAATAAATATAATTATATCGGCTTTATATCGGTCATCGGCCACACTGCTTTCCAAGATATCGGCATCGGCTGTCAAAAAACCAATATCGGTCGACCACTGATTCCAAATGCGAGTGTTTGTGGTCCACTGTTGGAAGAGTGTGTAATGCTATTACTAATACTGCTGGTGGTTCAGAGTTTGCTCTCTGAACTTTGGCCTTGTGTCTGTGCGTCTTTTGGCAGGGTGGCTGTGATGGCACCTGTCTGTGTATTGGAGATTATTGACTGTCTTACAGCATGCAGAGCAAAGAGAATGTGTTATGCAGTTGTCTGAGGTCTATAGAGGACACAAGGATTTGAGTAGCTATAGATTTAGTAAATTATTCATGGATGGTTTTATCTCCTTATAAAAACACATTATTTCATATTATGAAGTCATTTTTTTTGGGGGGGGGGGGTTATAAAGCATAGGATTTGTAACATTTTCAGAGATCTCTTTTTATGGCAGAAGTGTGTCAATCTTTTGCTAGAGCTGTGTACAAGTGTTTTTTTTCTCCAACAGAACACCTAAATCTGTTGTCATGATCAAAATAGGAAGAAATTAACAAAAAAGAGGGAAATAAAAAAAACGTTGCTAGATTAAATTTCATGTTTCAGATATACCTGATTACTCTTAAAACAGAGAAGAATATAAATAATGTATCAATTTAATATTTCATTATTTTAAATGATTTTAAAACACATTGTTAGCTTAATTTTACAACTTAGATTCCCAGAACCTGTCAGTTTCTTTTGAGTCTGTTCTTTTGCATCTGATAAATGAGCCATTTTTAGTATGTGTAAAACGTATTTTTATAAAAAGGCTGTTTCTGTACAAAAAATAGTCCAGGAAATAATGTTTCAAACAATTTATGAGATGCGGAAATCTCACACTACCAGTAATGTCCATTTACGAATTACAGATTTACAGATTAATACAAAAATGTGGGCAGTTTTGTCTTTACAAGTCATCTAAACATTTAATCTGGGTTTTTGGATTCGAGCGAACAGATCCACATCATGATTTGTAGTATTCTAAGTATACGTTCACTCTGAAGTAGAGACGATAGATGTTTTGTTGTTTTCATTTTAGTGTAATATAACTGAAAGACATACTCTTGCCTAATTGTAGATCCTTCTCGATTGCGTTTACACTGTTTGTCCACGATTTCAAATCTTAGTACATTTTAACACTTCTTGCAGTACTTTCAGGATGTTTCACCGTGTTTATCACACAAGTAAAGGCCAGCTAATTTGTTCTTTATTGCATCAAACTTTCATGGTTGGGGGAAGTGATGTCACAATGCACTGTACTGCAGTGACTGCTCTTCATGGCCTGTATTGTTAATTTTTAAATGTAGTGAAAGGGTTTTATGAGAACTCTCAACCAATGAATATAGAAAGGAACAAAGAAAAAGAGTCATAAAATGAGTGTCATGCATTAAAAAAACAAGAAACAATAAAAATAAGATTGCCATATTTGTGCCCAACCTCAGTCGGTTACTCATGCACATCCCAAGTTTTAGGAGCCTGATGGGAAACTTAGAAGAACTTGATTTGAAATATGTCCAGGAATATTTTTATACTTGTGTTGTA